AAATCAGGGTGACAAGATGTCAAAGTGGCAATTAAAAGTGCAGTGGTTAAAGAAATGAGACAAATCAGTGGAACAGAATCACCAGTTTTCATTTCAACATTGTTACATATCTCTTAATTAGAACAGATGTCTTCCTAATCTGCACGAAACAGAAGAGGAAATGGAAGGTCTGAAATACTGGCTCCTCCACAAATACTACATTAATTCCCATGTTCTGATAGCAAATGTGCTGCCTCAGATTGCGCTAAATTGAAAGACCTAACAATTCTGAATCCTGTCCCGCAAACCATGGCTTAATCTGCAATATCCAAAGATTAGCTGAAATCCTTTTCTCTTCCTTATACCTGCAAACTCTGCATTTATCCCAGATGCACTGAGACTGCTCAGGTACTACAAGCCTCTCATTGGCTTTGCCATACACTTTTTAGCTGTGTTTTACACTGTCAGAGTCCCTGTTTAGCTGCTTTCACTCACAGAGGAAAGAATCCATCAGTCACCAAAGTCTGGTAAGCTCTTTAATGGCAAGCTTGTGGTGTAACTACACTGTGGGATTGGATGCCTCCGTGTTTTGGGGAGGAAGGAGAAACGGAAGAACAGGCAGGGCTCCAGTGACAGTTTACACCTTTTAAAGCATTGAGCGGAAGGGCAACATCTTTCGGCAACTCACTTCACAGCTTTGTAGTCACAAAGAGAGAGAGATCTTCCAGCCAGAAAAATGGTGGAAAGCACAAAAAAACCCCAGTCTTTGCATGGCGCGGCGCAATGTTACTTCTGCTTGACATGTTGATGTCTGACTGATCCCTGCATTAGTAAAGGAAAACTTGACAACAAAAAGATTATCTTGACTGAAATCCAGAGGTGACGTTTCCCTGCCCCAAAACATGAAAGTAGACGTCCTTTACATGCAATGTTACCACAGATCTTTGCCCACATAAACAACAGCATGTCAGTACAGAAAGGGAATTTCAGAAGATCAATGTATTTTGTGTGAAACCGGTGAGCTACAGTGAGTATTAACTAGTTCAAAGAAGTTGTTTTGGTTTTTTTTGGCAGATAAAAGAATAGCCTTATTATTAACCCGTAGATTTCTGTTTATGACCAAAATCTTATTGAGAGTGCAATGTTTCATGGCTCTCTAGAAACTGGGGTTTTTAATAATGCAGATGCACCTTTAGGTATTGTCTGCTTTAAGAGAAAATAGCAACAAGAAGGGATTCAAACCTAGAGCATGTTACTGATAATTCGGCATGCTGAAGTGGCCGTTGTGGGCAAGTAAACAGCTTTCGTGCCCCCGCGGACAACGTACCCCTGCTACAAACATCAGATACCAACAACGCAAGTTAGTAAGCCTCAGAAGTCTGCTAAAAACCTGAGGGCACAGATTCCTGCCTCAGAGTTATTTCCAATGAGAGGTAACAAGCAGATCTAAGGAGAAGCCTCTTATCTTCTTTATCTGCCTTGGAGTAGAAGGCCCTGAGCCTGCTCCTTCGGCTTCACAGCGACTCTGCAGGGGACCACCTCAAACACAGCCTGTTGCAGGCTCTAATAGCCCGTTTCTTGAGTCACTCCTGCCTCGCTGTCAAGTGAAGGTTTTCCAGCTGCCGCTGACTGCAGAGAAAGGCTGCAGGGGAGGAGGGGAGGCCCTGCCAGGATTAAAAAGACAAAACAGAGCATTTCCCTGTGCTCTCAAACTGCAGAAAGGGGCATCCATTTAGAGCCCCTGAGGAGATCCTTCCCACTTGCCCCTGTCCCGTGGCCTGTCTAAAGCGAGTCAGCCCTGGAAAAGGGATCTATAGGCTGGACCAGCGATAGCAACGAGAGATCTCATCTTCTGGATGCCTAGCCAGGGAGGTCTCAATGGGTCCTGATTTTCAGAGAGTGGATTATTTAGATAGAAATCACTGCCTGTGGAAATATCTTGGGTTTGGCACCTAAAATCACTACTCTCTTCTGTATAACCGCTGCCTGGTGAGGGCTCCTTAAAGAGTCTCCAAGGGGTGCCCACATCCACCTCACCCCTTGTGAGAAGGTGCTGCCTGTGCAGAAAGGACAGCGCGTCCACACAGGGCAGCTCCGTGACCGACACCGCACCGAACTGCGGTTCACACTAATACACCCGGCCGCGAGCTGCCAGGCCTAACAAGCGTTTCCCTCCCCGCTCCCTGCTTCCCCTCTTCAGGGGGTGGGAATTTCTGAGAATGGAGCAGCCAGCATGGACAAAGAAGCAACCTTGTCTTCTGCCTAAAAGTGCTAAAAAAAATCAGCTAGATCAGCTAAATCTGACTGTGAGTAATAGCCATGGACTTCACCCCTGGGTCCAAGTGAAAGATGGGAAACGTTGGAAGAGGCTGGGAGTCTGTCCTACATGGCACCTTTCCAAAGCAATGTCCATAAGGTCGTTGCAGTTGATTTTACTGCGACAGCCTCCTGCCACACCTTCTAGAGAGGGAGAGGCCGGTCACCTCCACGCACCTCAACGCTGTAGCAGAAAATCCTCCCCACTGCCCCAAGCCTCCGTCTCACACAGCACACCTTACATGCGACACGGCACCAAAACGCAGTGGTTAGCATGCAGGTCACTGAGGCAGAAAAACTACCTGCGGTTATTCCCACCAAAAGTGGTAATTTTGCACGTACGCAATATCATACTCATACAGTATCACAAAAAATAACATTGGGGAAGAAAGAAGGCAGTTTTTCTCCAGCCCTTCTTCCCTCCCTCCCCATCTCAATGCATTCACCAGGCAGGATGGTAACAGAAAAACGCTCCTGAGGAAAAGGTCCAAGTAATTTAAAGAGCAGTTTTTTATAAACTGCATAGGTTCAACGAGCAGATCCTTGGCAGGATGGTTTAGGTTGTCTGAGAAATCTCAGCATCTCTCTGAAAGGGTCCTTTTTCACTCTTGCCCTTGCTACTCAAACCAGTTGTTACATCTCTGAAATCTGTTTTCCTCTGGCATCCCATGTATTTCTGCCCCCCCCCCCCCCCCCCCCGCCAAGCAGCACTCTGCTCATTGCATTCATGCAACTCATATTCAGACAGGCCAGTTCTGCAAGAGGCTCTGCTCTGGTATGTTTATATTTAGCTACAACATGAAATGTCTACGAGAGAAGGGCAAGGGAGGAGAAGAGAGACTCTTATATGTCCTTTCACTAATGGCTTGCTTTGAGGATAGGCAATGATAATGCATCTCTCTTTTCATGCTCAGACCTAAAAGCACTTCATACACTGGTGGGCAAATAATACTAATGGTCCCTTTTACAATAAGGCTTAAGGTGGGACTTTCAAAGGAGTCACCCTGCTCCCACTGAATTTCACGGAGGCCTGGATATGTAACTCCCAGAGGCTGCCTTGAATTCCCAGCTTCTGAGATCTACCCAAAGCTCAGAGCAAGGCAACAGCAGAGCTCTGAATCCACATTTTCTCACTCAGTCCCCAGGCTGGCAAGTGTTTACACACGTGTTCGCAAATCTAGTGTCTCAGTCTGGCAGTCTAACCACTGGGTCATGCTACCCCCAGTTAAGTATTGAATGGCTACTAACCTCAAAATGTGGTGGGAAAAAACAAAATACAAATGAAATATAAAAATATCTTTTGACACTACTAAAGCAGTTTCTCATCTCTTGCATCATTCGATAAGTACGGAACAAGTAAGATGATAACACAGAAATGTATTTGGTCAAGGTCTAAGCAATCAATATTTTTTGATAAAATACATTCTATATTAATGCTCATTCACATTTAATACACATGTAAATTTAAATTTTCTATGTAGAAAATTCCAGTTTAAGTGCTGCCTCGCAGTGCTTCAGTTCAGCAGTGGGGCTCAACACATTCAGCTCCCAGCAAAGTGATGGGAGACAAGAGCGTTCAGCTCTTTGCAGGACCAAGCCTCACGACCCCTTTGGAGGGCCTGGTCCTGCAGGCCTCGTTTGAACAAAACTCTTGCCGTCTTCAACAGGAATTTTGCATGAATGGGAGCTGCAGAAGGACCCCCTTACTATCAAGCACTTGCACTCTGTTGTGGAAGTCACTCAAATGGCATATGGCGTTGCAAAAAAATAGTGAGTTAATTAATACAGAAAATAATTTATCTACATAATTTACAGCTTCATGTTTGCTCACAATCGTATTAACGCTCAACCGTCCATTTACACAGCAGTCAAAATGCAGGCAAAGGTAGCAAAGTGCAGTATATATTACAACCTTGTGTGTGCAATTACGAAGCACTGGATCTTC